GGGGAAGAGGGTTACAGGGCGGTGCTGTAAAACGGTCTTCCCCGTGTTTGGCATGAGACAAACACGGAGAAAGGGCTCGGTTCAGCTGCGCTGCCCGGAGCGCCCACAGAGCTCACCACCAGCCTGCATACACCGATGCAAGCCCCCTTTGTTTTCACAACCGTTGTTGGTAACTATTTACCCTTAGTTTAATCAGTCAGTGCGCTTCTGTAGACTGTAATACAAAAAGGTGGCGTTAGATGTAAAGCTTTATTGCATGGAGTAAACTCAATAAAGCATGAGATCCAATCTTTTTTAAACATTTTTCACAAAGAGGAGGCAGAAAGGACAACTTCACAAAAAAAAAATTACTTTAATATGTTCTAAGAAAACTTCACTTTTCCAGTTACATAGGAAAAAAAAACAGCTTGGTACATGGTAGCTAGAAAAATCTAAAACCTACCAGTGTTCTTCCCTGGAACAGATGAATTCATCTTATGACCCAACCCCATTTTCTTGGGCTCTTTAAAACAAAGAAACAACTATTTTTCCTCCCAAAGCACAGTATTTCTTCAGCAGCAATGAAAATGGGGTCACAGCAGCATAACTTGACCCTTCGGTAAAGCTTTGTATAAACCAGTGATTTTATGATGAAAACACTGTCCTTGAAAGAAAGAGCGGCAGTTAGACATCCATGCAAACATGGAATGATTAGGTCATAAACATATGGCACTTATAAAAAGATAGCTTATTTGAAGGCACCACCACAGCGGAGTGGCCAGTTGTTTTACTATATGCCCAAAGAAAGTTTTTCTTCCTGAAATTTATAAAACTATTTTAAAAAATGATTTGTACCCGAAGCATGTGCTTCTAAAAAAAATATCAACTGTGCTAAGCAACTCTTTAGAATTTTGGTGTATTATGTATGTGTGTGTGTATACGTATACACATACACACTCCAAAAGTGTGTGTGCATGTGTACACATATATTCACACACACATATACATATGTGTGTGTATATATATATTATATATATATATATACACACACACATATAGTCTTCCGCTTTAAACTTCTAAGGCTTCAGGAGTTAGTTTTCACATTCAGTAACTTTCTAGTTTAAGACGACCTCCGTCTCCTTCGCTCACAAAACGCTTTCTGCCCCTGTAAGAAAATAGTATCTTTTTAGGAAGTTCAAACTAGCATCACTTCTATTTTCTTTGTTACTGAAAAATCTTTACTTGGTCTTGGGACAAGTGTACAAGGTATCAACAAGATTAGCTAATATTCTTCATCACTTGATAAATTGCTTAAATCTGTCTGACTATTTATATAGCTATATTTGTAGGAAGAAGCTTTTCAAAACTTGCATTCTCAAGTGTCTTCTGCTTTGCTGGCCTTTAAATATTTAATATCATTAATGCATGTAAAAGATGCTGGCTTGAAAGCCTAGAAATTGCATTTTCTAACCAAAGCAGAAGTATGTAAGTCAAAAACACACCTCAATATATTTACTAGTACTGAAGTATAATCACGCTTTTGTTGCAGAGATGACTTTCAACCCTCCCACACCTCAGGCCTGCAAAACATTTAATATCATCAAGATATACACAAGCTCAATTTTAAGTCCAAAGTCCACAAGTAGAGGCTTGTCTTCGATAAAGTCACCAAAATTTCAAAACCTAAGCTGATTGCCAGCTGGGAAGATGCTATATTTAAGTCATCTAACACCACACCCAAACTGGAAAAGATCTGTCTAATAAATAGTATTCCCGACACACAAAATTGAGGGAAAAAATATTTTTAACATTAAATTCAACAAAACTATGTGTATCGCCCACAGGAAGTAGAATTTATGGATCTATGGTGACCAGTAAGGAAAAAACGGAACATTATCTATGCTATGAATAAGTAAACAATAACAAAACAAAAAACACTATACAAACCACATGAAAAATAGTAAAGGGTTAGGTATTTAGAGCTTATGCCATGCAAGTGTCCCATTCCCTCTGATGTAATGAATCTAATTTTGGTACCCTATTAACGCATTTCAGTATGTTTGTTTAAGCAGTTTTTTGAAAGTAAATTACAAATGGTTGTCTGGTTTCCCACTGTTACTACATGGGTCACTGTGATGCCCAAATCTTGCGTCTCAGGACTGCGCTGATCTCTGCCAAGCCAATTAACACAACAGAGAAGAAGCAGGTCTTCCTCCTCTGGGAAGTGGAGAGGCATGCTGCCTGGGACTCTCCAGAGGCTTACTTTCCTCAACTATTTATTGCAGCCTCCACGTAACAATCAGATCAATGCACCTTTATAATAATAAACTCTTTCTTTTTTTCCTCCATCCTCCTTAGCTTCCAAACTGCAATCTACAATACCCAGGTCACAAGATCCTGCCTTCGGCTAGCTACAGTGGGCATAAAAACCTGTGCCTTCACCTATCTATAATAAAACAAGTACCTTGAAGGACAGAGGTCTCTCAGTGGTTTGGAAATTATTCCAGCCTGAAAGCATTCCTCTACAAACCGTTCAAGCACAGAATAGGAGTGTGGCACATCCAGGTTAATATCTGGGATTTCACAGTAAACACGTTCATAGCCCTGCAGTGTAAGAATTCAAATACTGATGTGGTTATTCCATGATTTTATTACAATTTTCTGTAGAATAAATTGTCATGTAATTTCACGTATACTATAAACAGTTTCAACAAACCTAAACCGGAGGAGCTGCAAGTTAGCAGAAAAACAAGGAATAATACCAGCCGGTATCATGGTATTACAGAACCACCTACAGACATGAAAACATTAGCAGAACAGAATTCTAAGACTCCAAAAAAAAATTATAAATCCAGGCAGCACAGAATGTATGTATTAGCCTGGTTGCTATCACATGGAAGAAAACTTACTATTTCTGCTAGTAAATAAAAAAAAATACAGGCCGCAAATCTCCACCACTATGCAGCAAGGGAAATATTTGTGCCAACCAGAGATGACTTCATCACTTCCCTCCAGCAGGAGGATTGGGGAAAGTTTGCCGCGAGTCTTAAGTCTGGTACCCAGTTTGCCCCAGGATTTGTCCAGTGTTGACAGCTGGAAGCAAAGTCACGAATTATGCTTATTTAGTAAAATATTTGCTTCTATGTACTGTTGCAGTTGGTATTTCTAATTGGGTCTCATTATACTTCTTTGATTATGAAGAACTACTGGTTAAACAGAAAAATTATTTTAAAAAAATGAAGCTATACTGTAGCATTTTAAATTACTGGTTTTAATCACTTAATTGTGTAAGATCAGCTGAAATTCTTCAATAGAAGATTTAAAAATTCAATACCCTTCAGTTCTACATAGAACTACTGCTCAGAATTCATTTGTATTTGCTCCAGTACATGGCAAATATTGTTACATACTTACGAAAAGGTAAAAACTATACAAATTTTGGGAGACCTTACCCAATATTCTCCAAATGACATACTTACCATTTTCATTTGGTCCACAGTAATGACAGAAGACCCCCAAAGAGATTTCAACAAATCCAGCATCATTTTAAAAGTCTTTTCTCCAGATGACTCCAAAACCATCACCACTGCCTGAAACGAATTATGCAAGCCTTTTAACTAAAAAGATGACAGTGGTTCAAGCACATCTTGTGTAAGTATATAAAGTGCAAAAATGAGTAACAATAAATACAGTATTGTGCATTTGCTGGGGAGGTTAAGTCCATTTGTTTTAAGGACTCGCAATTGCAGTATATTATTGTTTGATGAGAAAGACTGAGGGAAAGTTACTCAAATAAGGACACAAGCTACGAAAAACAAGAAAGGAGAAGACAGAGTAAAGAGCATTGCATGACTTGAGAGGTACGTGAGCATGTTCATACAGTTGCTGCACTATAGGGGGAAATTATTTTTGTGAAACTAGTTTTTAATCTATGATCTTGGAAGAATCCAAAAAAAGTGTAAAATTACCAATCTCCACAAATCCCAACAAGCAAAAAGGACTTTTTTATTCCTAAGAAATTTGCTAAATGGAATCAATTTTATACAAAAGAGAACATTTAGATTGTTTTAGATTGCGGGTGTTCAGTTTCAAATGGTAAACAAGCATTCCCCAATTTAGCAGGTGAAAAGAATACAAGTAAGAACAATCTTCTGGATGCAGCAAAGGAAGATCTTTCTCTCATATACTCAAAGCTTTTACAAATGTACTAGATGGAACAATTCCACCATGCAAAGGAAGCTGGGTAACAACAACAACAACAACAACAAAAAAAA